CGATTAACTGAAGGACAAATCGCCTAACCCAAGAATCTTTCTGCGAAATAAGCCCGGTAATGTAGTAGCAGAGCCTGTGCTGAAGGCTGGGTGCTAACCGCATAACCATAATGACAAGGGCCTCCTAGGAGTCGTTGTGCAGCGAAAACCTTTGTCGCTCTACTTGTCCCCCGGAACTGTCTGCAAGGCAGGTGAGGACAGTCACAATTACACTCAGGTTCCAGGTTTCCATTGGCTACACGAGCACGGCTACCAAACCCTCCGTTACAAAACAACGGCAGGGATCTCATACTCACATTTGAATGAATAAAGAATTAAACACCAATGAATCAATTGTTATTCACCTTTCGAATGGTTCATCAATCAGCGATGGGATTTTGCGCGATGGGGTGTCATATGACGGATAGCCGGAATTCTGAAAATATTTATTGCACATACAGTCTTGCTGGCTGCAGTTGCTGGGGCGTGTCAGGGTAGCTGGGTTTGGCGCGGCTCCAGTTCATTTTCCACCAACCGCTATCGCTTGCGCCGCTTCAACACTTTGTGGACAACCGGCTGACGCCGCACCAAATGCGGTACCGCTGACACGCCCTCAGCATCCGCAGCGAACAAGACTGTATTCAGGTCATTTTCTTCACTCTATTTCTCACAAACTCAAGACTGCCAATGACAACCGTTGGGTTTCGATCTCACTTTCTGTGATTTTTGAAGTCTCGAGTTCTTGACTGCAACTCAGGAGATCCGAGTCGAGGCACCTCGTGCAAACCAGTCAGTATTCCTCAAGAGCGGCTCAACACAGCACATTGGCGTCAAATCAATTAGGAGTTATGCCAATCTCATGTCTTGAATCTCTCTACGTCACGGTTTATCTCACAAGTCGACAGTCCATAATTTTTTCCCTCCGCTTCAGTTTTTGAGGCACTCCGACTAAACACGCTACTCCTTAGTCAAGACCCTTAAATAGTGGAGGTGATCGGACAAAATTGTTGCACTTTTAGAAAGCTGAGTCAACTAGCTAAGAACACTAAAAGTTTGCGCACGATCCAGCGACTTGGATCTCTTGAAGTCCTGAAATCCAGAATTCCTTATTGCCAAACATAAAGTCGTAGTGACATCCTTCCCACTTATTAGGAATGTTCAAATCATGAGTAAGTGAAATTACCCATTTGCTTGTGAAATAACTCTTTCAGAGTACGAATATACCCTATATCACATACCCCGCGATCCACAGCTTTCAATATTGCTCCCATAACTGGACCCAGACCCATTTTCTCCACTTGTCTGACTGCATCTAGTGACGACGAATTCTCCTCAGCCGCTCTGCGCATCACCGATTCCAACTTGTAAAATTCACTAAAGTAAAGAAAAAAAATAAGAAAAGAGTAAACAAAAATTCATGCAGCGACGTACTCTGGTTGGTTTGCTGGAGGCCTTGCCCATGGCGATATGTCAGCACCACCTCTGCCATCATTGAAAGGATACTGTTCACCGTAACGCATCTGAATTGAACATAATGAAGCAACATATTTGAGTAGAACAACTTCCGAACTTCAGTATTCGCACCTGCCCTCCATACATGTTGCCTTGCTGGTAGCGTTGGCTCTCGAACGGTGCAGGACCGCTTTGCCATTCTCTGCGGCCCATCAGAGGAGACGCAAAAGGCGCCGGTGCCGATCGATAAGGCGAAAAATCTTGAGACATAAGGCTTCGAATTGGACCTTTTGGTGTGGGTCTCGAAGACCCCTTTGGAGTAGCCTTCGCACCATTCTGCGCTCCAGTCTTTTTGGAACCAGCTGAAAACCCACTGGATCAGAGCCGTAATCCTATCAAAATACATTTCGAAACTGAAATCGTCATCTCAGGACAAACCTAATCAAAGCTGTTCAAAGCCCCTGTCTGCAGGTATCTCAACAGTTAAAGATCACGGAATAAATGCTCGTCAAAGCAAGCAAAAATTATCAACTATCTTGAGCCTTTCCTGGATGAGAAAGTACAACTTTTGCAAGCAAAAGATGAGAACACAAAGAGAGGTTCCAACTTCTAACTTGGAAGTCGTCATCAACCATTAGGACGCCGGGAGAAAGGTTTTAATCATCTGAGCAGTAACCTTCGGAAAACTCCGAAGTACATAGTGCTAATCAGATCCTTTCCAGGACATGAAAGGATACAATAACGTACTTGGAAAGAGTAATCAGATCCTTTTCCAGGACATGAAAATAAAATTCTATCAATGCTTATGGGTGAGATAGTTCGGATTCTCTAACTTCTCAATGAGAAGTTACAGTAAGATCGAAGCAAGATACATCCAAATTTAGATCTAAAATGGTAGCCACGTTTCACAACAGTGAAAACACTGTAGACACAAGAACTTACTTTTTCCAGATTTCGACTGGGCGGAATTCTTCTCATCCAACCTAGGTTGCTTAGCGGCTGAACCGCTTTCAGTAGCTGACGATGTAGCATTGCGCTTTCTGAAAATGCGACAACATATACACCACTGGGTCGGTCAGGAAGCAGTATCGCTTTCACTGAACCGACTAATTCAATGGCGTATCCTCTTTCGGCACTGATGCCTTATCCGGATTTGAATTACGGGTGGTGGGGGACGGAGGAAGTATGGTACTTGTTTCAAATGAAACTTATTTGGGAATCAGGTAAAGCGGTTAGAAGCCAGTTTTGCTTCTTCAACTTTCACAAAAGAGCGGGTTTCAAGGAGGGGAGGGGGTTGATACGGGAGCCTTTCATATATGACCGTTATTGTGATCCAAGAGCAGGATAAAAACCGCTCTCAATACTACGTACTCATAATATTCCAGTTCATGACTTTACAGTTAGGCCC